CCGGCCTGGATGAGGGGATGATGGCTGTTTGCAGCTAGTCACACCCTCTTCAGAGTGGGGGTCCCCACTGGGGTGCCTGGCCAGTCTCGGTGAGGGGCTGAGGCCCGTTTTCAGGCTGGCAGGCGACTGAAGCTCCCAACCTCTCCTTTTTTTCTTTTTTCTTTTATATTCTGGGTGTTATTTACCTTCTATGGCTATCACTGGAGCTGAGAGCTGGCTTTAGCTCTGAGGCTCGGCTCTAGCTCTGAGACCTAGGCTGCTGAAAGTAGGTATCTAGTTTGTTTGGGTTCTATAATTGAAACTCTGTTGCAACTCCAGCTCGGCCGGCCGGCTGACTGAAAGCATGAGGACTGTTTAGCTTCTATATTTGCAACATTGTTTCTTAGACTGCAGCTCAGAGGCTGGCAGCGGCAGGCGGGGAACTTTGGCATCCTCCTTCAGTGGAGCAAGCAAGCCTCCTGTTCGCTTCAGCTGCCTGGCTGCCGGCCGCCATCTTGGTTGGCAGTTAATTTGCATATCACCCTGATTAGCCAATGGGAAGCGTGTTGGAGGTATGGTTAATTATCATGTTTACCTATTATTAGATAGGATATTCACTTTCATTTTTTAAAAATGGTAAGCCTGTATAAAATATAAACTATGGAAAATATAAACAAGTCTAGAATGTTGTGATAAAACATGTCTTATCCCATCATACCCTCTATATGAATTGTTTGAAACAGTCCCTATAAGTTCAAAGGTTACCTATAATCATCTGATAAATCACCACTAGACTGTCAGGTCCATGGCTGCATATATCTGTACCTACCACAGAAGTCTCTAATAGCAGGAAGAATCAATATTTCAACTATCAGTCATTAGTGAATAATATCAGGAATGGTTCCAAAGAGTTTACTATAAGAAGTGAGGCTTAAAATCTAATGTATTTACTAAAAATGCTACCTGTTGAGTCACTTAAATAGATTCACAACTAAAATCATTTCAATTCCATTCTCTATAAGATAAATTTTTAAACAATAATCACTTTCATCTTCTAAAAAGCCCCCAATAGCAAGCAGCTAGGCACATAAGCTTCCTGGCTTTCAAAACCCTCAAGTAACTTTCTCACTCTACATAACTTCATCAAATATCATAACATTATACTTTTAAACTAACCACAGAATCATGAAACTTGGGGGAAAAAACCTAGAAACTATTTAGCTCAACTTGTAAAGAAAAAAAGCTGAACTGTCCAAACAGTATGTTTAACCAAGCTGGGGGGTAGGGGGAGATACTAATATAGAACAGGGAGCAATGCAACAAAAGCTGTTATTGGAAAATACTAAGCATTATTACCTATACAGTGGGGCCTTGATTTACGAGTTTAATTTGTTCCAAGACAGAGCTCGTTAACTCAAATTACTCTGTCAACTCAATGCAAAAAATCAACCGAGAGACAGCTGGTATCTCAAAAAACTCGTTATTCGGGACACTCGTAAGTCAAGGCCCCACTGTATGCCCAAATTTTATTTAAGAAAAAAAAAGGCAATGTTGAAATTTAGAATGAATGTAATCTACCTAGTCCTGGCAATTTACTTTCATGAGGATTTGGCCATCAGACCCCTAGGTGAACCTGCAATTGAAAACATTTGTATTTTCTTTAAATCTGTGTTAAAAGCAAACAGTAAAATTAAATTTAGAGATTAGGGATAGTGGTAAAAATTTAAAACAGAGGCTATACAAATTAGTAGGACATTATTTTATTGATCAGGATCATTTTGCAAACCATGCACAAGACTACATAGGAATGGAGATGCAGTGATGCGCCATATTCCCCAAAAAAGTTGTGAATGTTTCATTTTTTAAATCAAGTTCTAATTTAAACTTAATGTTTGGAAGCCTTTCATTATGCGAGCAGTCACCCCTAATTTACCTCCCAGAGTGGCTCTCTGGCCAGAGATTTTGAGTGCAACAAGGCATGACAAGCCACCAGGTTCTGAGCTTGTGCACACTGCTGGGCTTGGAATCACTCCCTATTACTCCTTGAAAATCACTCCTTTTAAGGGAAGCCTCCCCTTCCTTGAGTATGCCATGGTCACCAGAGTCAGCAATATTGGGTAACAGGAGGGACAATAGTCAAAGCAGCAATGTACAGTAGCTTCTTCTAGAACACAGAACATTCGTTCAATGAGGTTTGCCTCTTATAAGATACGATCATGTCGTTATTCATGAGTATTTTAGAAACTGAGATGAATCTCTAAACATTAAGTAATGGTATAGTCCTAAATTTACAAAGACTAAGACATTAAATACAAGGTATAAAATTCTAAGAGTAGAAAACATAAAATACTCTTAAAAGGAAATTAATTACATTTGGCTGGGGGTTGGTGGGGGGATAGATAGGCCAAAAGGGGGAAATGGGGAGACATCTGTAATACTTTCAACAATAAAAATAAATTTTTTTAAAAAATGCATCACAAACCAAAAGTTAAGAAAACATTCAGTTTGAGTATTTGTTTCCTTATGTGAAAGTGCTTATTTAAATTTTAGGAGGTTAAATATCAAGCATTTAGCAAATGCAGCCACAAAAAAAGCAGACCAATGTGTATGGTCCATGATCATCCTTTTTCTTTCTTTTTTTTCTTTTTTTAATATATTTTATTGATTTTTCACAGAGAGGAAAGGAGAGGGATAGAGAGTTAGAAACATTGATCAGCTGCCTCCTGCACACCTCCTACTGGGGATGTACCCACAACCAAGGTACATGCTCTTGGCCGGAATTGAACCTGGGACCTTTCAGTCCGCAGGCTGCTGCTTTATCCACTGAGCCAAACCGTTTAGAGCCCTTTTTCTTTTCCTAAAACTATTCATGTGGGGAATCCCAGAACTAAGAGCAAAAAATAATATTCCAAGAACTTTAATGTTTGATCCTATAACTTATGTCTAAATCAATATAATTCATTGAATATGTTTTTAAAATCAATGTTAAACTATATACACTCCAACTAAAAAGCCACACATGAAGTTCAACAGATAGTTTTTTAAAAATCTAACAATATTAATAAACACAAAGAGAAGACATACACAGTATATACAAAAAAATTGGAGAAAAACGACATAACTACATATAAAGGAAAACGTGGACAATAATAAAATACTATATACTTTATGCCAATAGATTTGCACCAAAATTGACAATTATCTTTAAGAATATAAACAACACTTTTAAAAATGGATGTTTGTGTGTGGGGGGGGGAGTGGCTTGTTTAAAAAGTAACTATAAAAAGAAAAGACGATTGAATTTGACCGATAATATTTTAAAAATACAATTAATAATTAAAAATCTTTCGAATCCCTCTGAAAACCAGACCCAAGTTTTAAAGAATTTTTTGAATATTCA